AGAGCTGAGCTGATCCGAAGCCAGGAGCCAGGAGCTTCATCCTGGTTTCCCTTGTGTGTGGAAGGGCCCAAACACTTGAACTATGTTCCACTGATTTCCTAGGCCATAAGCAGAGAGCTGGATCAGAAGAGGAGCAGTTGGAACTTGAACCAGGATATAGGATACCAGTGCTGCAGGTGGAGGCTTAGCAACTACGTCACAGCACTGGCCTTAGGAAGACCGTATTATAGAGGAAACTTAGGCAAGCCCTAAAGCCATAATGCTGTCTTTGCCATTGTGTTCCTTAAAGTACGTAAAATCTCTTATTTATTTATTAAAGATTTATTTATTTACTTGAAAGAGTGACAGAGAAGGAGAGGCAAAGAGAGAGACAGAGAAATCTTCCATACACTGGTTCACTCCCCAGATGGCCTCAACTGCTAGAGCTAGGCTGATCTGATGCCAGGAGCCAGGAGCTTCTTCCAGGTCTCCCACGAGGGTGCAGGGGCCCAAGCACTTGGGCCATTTTCCACTGCTTTCCCAGGCCATTAGCAGGGAGCTGGATGAGAAGTGGAGCAGCTGAGACTAGAACTGGTACCCATATGTGATGCAGGCACCACAGGTGGCAGCCCCAAGCACATAAAATCTCAATAAATGAACACCAAACATAACCTAAAGGCTTTAGGTCTCTTCTGCTGAAAAATCTTTATTGCTCTTTGGATTTCTCTTTCAATATGACTTAAAGTCAAAACACTGCAGCTTTACTAAATTGCACAAATATGTTCTGTAGTTTTAAATTGGTAATTATTAAAAATTCAGATTTCTCTTTGAGGAATACAGTCCCATAGATTTCTTTTTTTTTTTTTAATTTATTTATTTACTTGAAACTCAGATTTACACACAGAGAAAAGGAGAGGCAGAGAGAGAGAGAGGTCTTCCATCCGCTGGTTCACTCCCTATTTGGTCGCGACGGCCAGAGCTGTGCCTATCTGAAGCCAGGAGCCAGGAGCTTCTGGGTCTCCCACATGGTGGAGACCCAAGGACTTGAGCCATCTTCTACTGCTTTCCCAGGCCATAGCAGAGAGCTGGATTCGAAGTGGAGCAGCCAGGTCTTGAACTGGCGCCCCTATGGGATGCTGGCACTTCAAGCCACGGCATTAACCCACTGCACCATAGCACCGGCCCCAAGATTCATTTTTAATTAGCTTTGTATACAACTCTATACTAAGTAAAGATTTCAGCAGTTTGCACCCAAAAACAACACACGCAACATATAAAGAACCATTTGAGAACAAGTTTTGCGGTTAATTCTCATAGTACTACTCATTAAGGACAGAGGTCCTTCATGGGGAGCAAATGCATAGTGACTTCTGTTTAGGTTGGTGTGTTGGTGATTTTTTTTTCACTCAGATTGCAGTGTTACAGATTATTTTCTAGACCAGGCGTTATGCATAGTGGCTGAAACACCTACATCCATATCACTTGGTTTGGGTTCCAAGCTTGACTTCCACTTACAGCTTCTTGCTGATGTGCACCAGAGAGGCAGCCAGTGATGGCTCAAGTAGTTGGGCTGCCACTCATGTAGAAAACCCAGATTGAGTTCTTGGCTCCTGACTTTGGCCTGGCCCAGCTGTGGACTGTTGTGGGAGTATGGAGAGTAAACTAGAAGGTGGAAGATCTTTTCTGTCTCTGCATTTCAAATAAAGTAAGAAAAAGATAAAAGATTATTTTCCAGTGCAGTCTGATACTATATACAAATTTAGCTTTTTTTCCACATTATTGAATGACAAAAGAAAAAAGATGTGATAACACTTTAAGGACTAGAGTGGTTTGTAAAAATATGTAAATTGAAACCTATTTATATAATTCAGCATAAAAACTACACAGAACCTGTTTGAAATTTGTTAATTTTGTACTATAAAACATTTAATCTAGATGATTTTATGAATGAAGACTTTATGGTGATTGTAAACACCTCTTTAAAAAAACTACATTTAAAAACTGATGGATGGGGGTCAGTGCTGTGGCGCAGCAGATTAAAGCCCTGGCCTGTGGCGCCAGCATCCCATGTGGGCGCCAGTTCAAGTCCCGGCTGCTCCACTTCTGATACAGCTACCTGCTATGGCCTGAGAAGGCAGTAGAAGATGGCCCAAGTGCATAGGTCCCTGCACACACATTGGAGGCCCAGAGGAAACTCCTGGCTCCTGGCTTTGTATCAGCTCAGCTTTGGCTGTTAAGGCCCTCTAGGGGAGTGAACCAGTGGGTGGAATACCTCTTTCTCTCTCTCTGGCTCTACCTCTCTCTGTAACTCTTTCAAATAAATAAAATAAATCTTTAAAAAAATAAAAGTGATGGATTTTTTTCTCTTAAGTAACTGAAAAGCCAAACTACATATAATAATTTTCTTTTTAAAATTATTTTTGAAGTACCAGAAACATCTTGCTGTGCTTTGTAAGAATCTTGATCACATTATATGTTAACTTGCAGAAATATTTTGAGATGAATTTGCAGAAATATTTCTATTTTCCTTATTTTTTTCTACAAAAATGCTTTATTTAAAAAATATGATCTTTTTTAAAAAAGGAGGTAACTTTTATATACAGTTAGTTTAGAAACAGTCAAAAACACAATAAGATAACTTCAGGTTTAGAAATTATGACTTGTAACGTACAATACTGTTGGCAAACAAGACAGTTTAAATATAGTAGTTTTTTTTTGTCCCATCGCATTTCAGTAATTCACATTTCTTTTTTTTTTTTTTTTTTTTTTTTTTTTGACAGGCAGAGTGGACAGTGAGAGAGAGACAGAGAGAGAAAGGTCTTCCTTTGCCGTTGGTTCACCCTCCAATGGCCGCCGCTGCAGCCGGCGCACCGCGCTGATCCTGGCAGGAGCCAGGAGCCAGGTGCTTTTCCTGGTCTCCCATGGGGTGCAGGGCCCAAGCACCTGGGCCATCCTCCACTGCACTCCCTGGCCATAGCAGAGAGCTGGCCTGGAAGAGGGGCTACCGGGACAGAATCCGGTGCCCCGACCGGGACTAGAACCCGGTGTGCCGGCGCCGCAAGGTGGAGGATTAGCCTATTGAGCCACGGCGCCGGCTAATTCACATTTCTTAAAACCAGTGGTTGGAACTAAAGGAAAGGTCTCGTCTGAATCTTTCCTTCTCTAGAAACTTCCCACTTTTCCTGGTAGTAGGTGGGCAGTGTGTTTGTGTTTCTTTGAGTGCCTGTATGTCCAAAAATGCATCTTCTCCACGTTCATGGCTTTTTTCTATTTTCTTCCTTGAAATTTATTTGTGTCTACAGGTAGTGGTCATATATGCCAGGCCTTTTAAACTTTGATTTGTAAAACTGGAAGCTGTCTTCAGGCAAGGAACATGCCTGTTATGACAGCATAGGACTCAGCCCTTAATCTTCTTTTCAGGTTTTCAACACTCAACATCATTTGAACACCATGCCAGCATTCTGAGCAGCGACTGAACAATCTTTTATAGCATGATTCTGAAGTATTTCAAACCACTTAAATGCCCATTGTAGATTTGTAATAGAACAGGAGACAGGGCTTGTCAAACTAAAGTGCTGTTAGCCCCCATATTCATGAGGCTATATGGATTTCATAATCTCAAGTGTTTAAGCTATTTTCACCATGGTCACTTGCTCCTCCAACTTGGAGGCTTGGCCATCCTCTTGGAGTGTCAATTTCTTTCAAAGATTTGGGAAGATGCTTACAATTTTTCTAATCTTAAAAAAAAGTCATATATATCTACAAGCAAAATCAGAATAATTTTAAAGATAAAACATATGACTTCTAAGAAATGACAAGTTGACATGTGGACTTTGCCCTCATACTCTTTTCTCCTGTGAGGAAGATTTCAGTAGTAACATCTGTGAAGCAATGACCTAGTAGATCCTGATTCTGAAAGCTCCTTACTGTCCATGCATATAAATAAAACTCAGAGTCTTGGCTCTGTCTCTCCAGTTCCATCTTCTAAAACAATATAATTCTCTGATAAAATATAATAGATCTATCTACACTGATCAGGAAGGAAGTCAAGGAAAGAACTCTGGACTGATTTTTATTTCATATTGTTTAATAACCAGAGGAATGTTGCAGTCAAAGGATGTTACTGATTTACAATTAAAAATATATATAACATATGTCATCAAAAATAGTGGAACTCAAGCCAAAAGACTGGAACTTGACCCACTGAAAATAATATGAACAGTAATTATGTGTGATTTAATTCTTATATCAGATTTATATTAAATTACATTATCCCTGGTTTTTTTAACTGCACTTTTGGTTGAAGATGTACATATACAGTACCTTTCTGAGTTACTAACTACATTATCTCCTCTATAATGCCGAATCCACTAGGGATTCTTTCTTGACCCCAAAGGGATCCCTTCAGTATGACATGAACAGAAACTCAAAACTTCCTGCCAACAAGAACTATTTGTCAGATGCAAAATCAATGGCCATTCTCTGCATAAATAATATTTGTATAGAACAAAATGAAGCTGTCAATGAATTTTATGAGTCTGACTTAGCAAATTTTTTTTTCAAGTAATGGGTCAATTCCATAAGGCCATGTAAGGAAGATATTATCTGTAAATCAGGTTGTCATCCAACACATATAATAAAATAAGTAGTTGGCCGGCGCCATGGCTCACTAGGCTAATCCTCCACCTTGCAGCGCCGGCACACCGGGTTCTAGTCCCGGTCGGGGCGCCGGATTCTGTCCCGGTTGCCCCTCTTCCAGGCCAGCTCTCTGCTGTGGCCCGGGAGTGCAGTGGAGGATGGCCCAAGTGCTTGGGCCCTGCACTCCATGGGAGACCAGGAAAGTACCTGGCTCCTGCCATCGGATCAGCGCGGTGCGCCGGCCGCAGCGGCCATTGGAGGGTGAACCAATGGCAAAGGAAGACCTTTCTCTCTGTCTCTCTCTCACTGTCCACTCTGCCTGTCAAAAAAAAAAAAAAAAAGTAGTTAAATATGACATTGGATCAAAAATGATCCTAGATAGTTTAAGGCTTAATCTCCTAATCCCACAGTTTAATCAGACCACCCAGCTGCACGTTATGACTTTAGATGTTTCTTGAGGGTGCCACACTGCGCCTATACACACTTTATCATGAGCTTTAAACTGACTATAGAGTTTTGTGGTCTTCCAGTCCCAAATGTTTAATTTTCCATTTCCATCTCCTGAAATCACATAGCTCATGTCTGGTGAAAAGTCCACCTGACAAGCATAACCTGCTACCATGTGGCCCTTAAAAATTTTTTTCTTATTTAATCTAAATCTGTTCTGGGCTCCAAAAATTAAGATTTGGTTGTCCATTGATTGGCATGCTAGCCATTTCCCATTTGGAGACAAAGTCACTGCAGGCATTGAGTGCATACTGGGTTCTGCTATATACTTGAAATCCACAGGGATGTCCCATTCCCAAACTCTTAGGCTCTTATCATCAGATGTACTAACAAATCTCCTGTTTTCATCAACAAAAACAATGGTATTGACAGCTCCCAAATGCCGATCATATTCCTGCACAATTTCTCCACTTCGAATGTCCCATTGCACAATCTTTTTATCAGACATCCCAGGCACAAAGAGATTTTGCTTGTCTTCATCAGGATTGAATTTGACACAGTAGGGCACTTTTCGGTTTGTAAATCTTGATATACACTGTCCTGTCTCAGTGTCCCAGAGCTTCAGGTGTCTGTCATAGGCTGCACTACGAAACTGTGTTCCTGCGGTGTTGAAGCAGATGTCCCTTCGGCTTTACTGTGACCAATAAATGTTCTCAGACAGCAGCGGTCTCCATAAACCTCCCACAACTTAATTTTACAGTCCATGGAGCAAGACAGCAACAAATGGCCAGAGAGAGGAAACAGTCTGACTGCACTGACGCCCTTGGTGTGTCCAGACCATATGTGAATCTGTTTTTTGGGAAGATAACACTTCTCAGGTGGCACACTTGACCGTAGATTTACACCAACATCCTGAGGTATGTGAAGGTAGCACCTGCCTTGATAGTCATACATTTCTTTAACATGTAAGATTTATTTATTTATTTTTTTTTTGACAGGCAGAGTGGACAGTGAGAGAGAGAGAGACAGAGAGAAAGGTCTTCCTTTGCCGTTGGTTCACCCTCCAATGGCCGCCGTGGCCAGCGCGATGTGGCCGGCGCACCGCGCTGATCCGATGGCAGGAGCCAGGATCCAGGTGCTTTTCCTGGTCTCCCATGGGGTGCAGGGCCCAAGCACCTGGGCCATCCTCCACTGCACTCCCGGGCCACAGCAGAGGGCTGGCCTGGAAGAGGGGCAACCGGGACAGAATCCGGCGCCCCGACCGGGACTAGAACCCGGTGTGCCGGCGCCGCTAGGCGGAGGATTAGCCTAGTGAGCCGCGGCGCCGGCCAACATGTAAGATTGTCTTCTCCTCCCCAGGTTTCTCATCTTCCAGTTTGCCTTTTTTCTGCCTCTTTGCTGTGATTTCATCCAGCTCTTTTTGTTCTTCTTCTGAAGCTTTGGCTACATCTTTTTCATCCACATATTTTGCCCATGGTCCCAAGAAACCATCAATATTAGATGCATCATTTTCTTTGAACTTTTTCCTCTTTTCTGTTTTCTTCTGACCAGTTTCAAACACAGTTAAACCTTGATTTTTTTCAGCTTCTTCTACAGAACCAATATATTTGGCAGATACTTGGTTATCTAATGAAGGATCCAGTGCATAACCATATGTGGCACAAGTTCTTCTCTGCTGTTCAAACATGAAGTCATTGATGTTAGCTGGTTCACCATATCCAGAAAGCATATTTCTGGGGCAGCCATTTGCTGAGTTCTAAAGGGATTTTCTGGTCCAAACTCAGGAGCAAACATTGTCTCATATGTAGGATTATACTGAACTTCTTTGACAGCAGGGTCAAGGTGAACACCAGTCTCCAAATCTTCCTTAACTGCCACCTCTGGAGCCGAGTCCACCGCCACTGCCAGCGAGGGCTTGGCCGAAGGCGATTTAGTCAGATGCATGAGAGACTCGGCGGCTGGCAGCAGACATCGGCCGCCTTCACTGTCCGAGTCAGATTCGGACCCCGAACCCGAACCGTAGGAAGCGGCCAGAGCTGCAAGAGCAGCCGACATGACGGCAAACTGATCCTCTGCGGACACCATGCCCAGGCGGAAGGAGAAGCGGCTTCCAGGTCCTGACAGACAGCCATGAAGCACATTATTTACTTCCTTGGCTAAGAAATTATTTGTAATATTTTGAAAAAAAAAGATTAATTATTATTTGAATAGTTTCTATTGGATTAAGAGGTTGGAAACATTTACCTAAGGAACCAGTTTAACAGCTGGTCACTTTCACGACCTGGAGGACTAGATTCTCTATTTTCCTTATTAATCTAGTGCATCTCACCATCGCCTTTCTGGTCTTTAACCAATATGACCAATTATGAGGTTAAATTAAACAGTGTAACTGAAAATAAAAAAGATTTACAACAGTATCCAGATCAAAATGACCACCACAGTTTATGTTGTTTATCAGCAAAATTGATTAAATGCCTGAATAATGGGGATTTCCATTCATTACTGCCAATGTGGTATATGGGAACATTCAGAAGGAAGTTTTATGTGTGTGTGTGTGTGTGTGTGTACACATATGTATGTATATATGTAATTTGACTTTTTTTTAAGGATTGTGGGATCCTTTTCTAGGTAAACCTCCTGTGACTTCTCTGTTTATAATCTTATTTGTTCTGCTGCTTAAACTATCATTTTTAATACAAAAAGCTTCTACATGTATGTCAAATTCTGCTCTCTTGAGCACTTTGCATACTTTTAGTTGGCCTTTTTGGGACCTGATCTACTCCTTTTGTAGACAGTTCTTCCCTCTTGTATATTTGTTGTCTTAATTAATGATGTAGCCATCTTCTCTGTGGCTCAGATTTAAAACTTCAGATTCTTACCTCTCTCTTTTGCCCAAGTGAAAATCTATAGCTTCAGTCGCCAGAACGGCTTTCCTCTTCACCTTCCTACTCACTGCCACTGCCCTAATTTAGCTACTCTTTTTCTTTCCCTTAAAGACAACATTTTATGTGCCATTAAATTATTGACAAAGTCCATTCCCTTCAGCTTGGAATTTATGTTAGTTAAGATATAGATTTGGCAACTTTGTTGGAGAAGCTAAAAAAAAATTATAGTCATTAAAAGAAAAGTTTACTTTTTTCTTGTGTAAAAGTGTGAGTGGATCTGGTAGCTGTGCTGCACACAATTGGTTGGGGCTGATGCCCCTGTCCTGTTGCTCTGCCACCCTAATCATGCACCTCCATCTTGTGGACCAAGATGCCTGCTTCACATTCTGCCGTTGAAGGGTTAAAGCTATTATGGCAAGGAACACAATATTTGCAAGTAGTAGTAGGAGTAGAATTGACTTCTTAGCTTGATTTTAAAAATATATTCATTTAATTTATTTGAAAGGCAAAGACAGAGCTCTCTCATCTGCTTATTCATTCCCCAGATGCCTGCAACAGCCTGGGTTGGGTGAGGCCAAAGCCAGGAGCCAGAAAAGCCAGCCAGGTTTCCCACTTGAACAGCAGGGACCCAACTCCTAGAGCTATTACTGGCTGCATCCCAGAATGCACATTAGCAGGAATCTGCAATTGGAGACAGACTCAAGACTTGAATTCAGGCATTCAGGCATGGGATGTGGGCACCCCAAGTGGCATTTTAGTAACTCAGACAAATGCCCACCTGCTATCTTAATTTTTTTTTTTTTTTTTTTTGACAGGCAGAGTGGACAGTGAGAGAGAGAGACAGAGAGAGAAAGGTCTTCCTTTTGCCGTTGGTTCACCCTCCAATGGCCGCCGCTGCAGCCGGCGCACCGCGCTGATCCGATGGCAGGAGCCAGGATCCAGGTGCTTTTCCTGGTCTCCCATGGGGTGCAGGGCCCAAGCACCTGGGCCATCCTCCACTGCACTCCCTGGCCATAGCAGAGAGCTGGCCTGGAAGAGGGGCAACCGGGACAGAATCCGGCACCCCGACCGGGACTAGAACCCGGTGTGCCGGCGCCACAAGGTGGAGGATTAGCCTATTGAGCTACGGCGCCGGCTCGCTATCTTAATTTTTTTAATTTACTGTTATACTGTCACAAATTTTTAAAAATTTATTTATATAAAGGGAACAAATATCATGTATTTCATATAGTTTTAAAAACATAATGATACTTCCCACCCTCCCTTCCCTTTCTCACTCCTGCCTTTTAAGTAACAACTTCATTACCTGATTTCAAGAACTTTTGGTGGTTCCATAAGATCTTGACACTTATGCTGGGGAGGGAGTAAGGCAGGGTTGCTTGTGCCGCTTACATACTGTGCTTATGGCCTATATTGTTACTTGTAGACCTACCACCTACATTGTACTTTGCATTTCTCTCTATAATAGTGGTTTCCACTGACAAAAATTACATTGTTTTGGAAAGTAATTGACATCTAGCTCAACCACTTCCTGTTTGAAATATAGATAGATTCCATTCTATCACAAGTAGTCTCTTCTGAAAAACAAAATAAGCCCATTGTGGAAGGCAAGATACATTCCTGAGTCTACTGAGGTATTACTTATTATTCATTTATTTATGTATGTATTTGAAAGCCAGAGTTACACACAGAGAGAGAAGGAGAGGCAGCAACACTGGAGCTGAGCCAATCCGAAGCCAGGAGCCAGGAGCTTCTTCTGGGTCTCCCATACGGGTGCAGAGGCCCAAGAACTTGGGCCATCTTCTACTGTTTTCCCAGGCCATAGCAGAGAACTAGATTGGAAGTGGAGCAACTGGGACTTGAACTGGTGCCCATATGTGTTGTCAGTACTGTGGGCAGCAGCTTTACCGCTATGCCACAGCAGCGGCCCCTTATTCATTTATTTATTTGAGAGAGATCAAGAGAGCTCCCATTCACTGGCTGATTCCTCAGATGCCTGAAATTGCCTGGGGATTGGCCTTGCCAAAACTGGAGCTGGGAACTCAATCCAAGTCTCTCACATGGGTGACAGGAACCCAGTCATTTAAGCCATTACCTGTTATATCCCAAGGTCTGCATTGACAGGAACCAGAGTTGGGTACCAAACTTCTGGTACGGAACATGGGCATCTTAAATGATATCGTAACCATCAGGCTAAATACCTGTCCCATGAAGTATTTTTGTGCATTAACAATTGGCAAATGTTTGCTCATTTGAAGTGTGTTTCAAATAAATAATTGAGTGAGGAGGTCAAAGGTAGGCCTACCTGCTTCACATATAAGGTTTGATCTCTGCCTTTGAGAAATGTGGTTACCTCATACAAATCAACAAATGAAAGCATTAACATATAGAAAATGAACAAAGGACATAAAGTTATGATCACCAAAGCAAGATGACTTATATGAAAAAAAATTAACTTGTTATTAAAGAAATATTGACAGTAAAAATTTTTAAACCTTTCCAAGGTAATAATATATTATTGAGTAGTGAGATAAAGATCCTTAATCATGTTTATGGGAATCTCAATTTGTACAACTTTTCTAGAAAATAATTTGTCAGAATCCATCGACAAAAAATATGTTCTTTTCCCATTTCCTAGGAATCTCATAAGGAAATGGAGATGGACTCAAAGACTGTGTTCACAGTGTAGTTTTGTAGTTGTAAAAAATTGGAAATAATATCCAGTGGTGTTAGGAATTATAACACATGTATCATGATAGACTACTTTTTCACCCTTTTAAAAAGAGTGTACTTAGTGACATGGGCATTTAATGACAGGGAAATGGCCACCATTTTCTGTTAAACATGTAGAATGGTAACTGGGAAAATGAAAATTACAACCCCAATGAGGTACTTCTACACAACCTCTCAGAATGGCAAAAAAAAAAAAAAAAAAAAAAAAGGAAAAGAAAAGAAAAAGAAAAATATGCAAAGCAAGGAGAAATCTCAAGCTTGTTGGTAGGAATGCAAATAGTACAGCCATTTTGGAAGATAGTTTATTATAATAAAATTTAAAATGATCTTATATGCCCTAGAAATCCCACTCCTAGATAGAAATTTACCAGTAAAATTTGAGACCTCCAATAGCTTCTCATCTTTGCCAGCAGTTGGTATTATCAGGTCTTTTTTTTTTATTATTATTATTATTTTAAATCTTAGCCATCATATGATGTATGGAGTAATACCTCATTGTGGTTTTAATTTGAATGTACCCAATGGCTACTGTATACTTCTTCCCTAATGAAATAAACCGTATTAGCCTTTCTGTAGATATTTATAGCAGTTATATTTGTGATCACCCAATTGAGGAAAAATACAGAAGTCAACTGGAAAAATGAATTCTTTCAATTAAATTTTTTTTATTTTTAAAAATTAATTTATAATTCATACAGTAGGAGAACAAACTGCTGTGGAAAATCATGCAAAGCATTCAAGAGAAATATTTACTAAGATCGATCTGTGGAATGTTTGCACAGAGCTATTAATCTTATCCAGCAGGTCAGTTTGACTTGGGTGATAAGCAGGTACTGTCTGTCTCAGTCATCTGGAAGAATCTTGAGCAACCCTTTGTTCTTTATATATATATATATATATATATATATATATATATATATATATATATTCATTCCTTGTTTAATCCCAGAAGTGTCTTTCTTAAAATTAATCAGTAGCCTTCAGCATACCCTGTCTGAAGATATTTGTAAACAATCATGTTTTCTTTCTTTCTGTCTGTCTGTCTGAAAGGGTTTATTGGTGGGGAAACCCAACAGATGGGAGGGAAGGGACAAAGAAGGAAAAGAGAGCATAGGAGAGAGAGGAAGAGAGATCAAGAGACAGAGAGAGACAATCATGCTTCTATAAACAGTAATCTCCAACCTGTGAGAAATTTACCTCTGCTTGACCTAAAACCTAGTTTTTCTGACTAGGCCAATGCATGTTCACTCTGTAATTATAAATGAAAATTTGCATAAATTCTCACTAGAACTTGACAACTTGGGAATACTGCCCAATATTCATTAAAATTTGTTGGGGTTTGTCTCATAGGCTTACATCACTCATTCTTCCCTGAATAAATCTTATATTAACCTTTCTACAGAGTTTATTTCTGTCAAAAACTTAATAAAGGAACTTCCTTTTAGTTCAGAAAAGCATAAATGTGTGAGGAAAGGGAATATAACTATATACTAAGT